AGAACAGTCTAAGAAAAAAGAGATAACCCGGCCTGTCATAACCCGCTTTGCGACAAATTACTGGGCTGTGGACTCCATTCGGGAATCTGAAGGTGTATTAAAGAGATTGTTTACCAGTGAAGAGTGGTTAAATGATCGCCTCTCAAAGTCCAGTACCGGGTTAAAAGTGGACGGCATAGTCTCAAATAGGAGGTTCTGGTCTCGATGTTCCAGTATCGTAGAGGCCACTGCCCCTTTGGTCACGGTGTAAAGAATGGTAGATGCTGACAAGAAAGCTATCATGAGCATCCTTTATGAAGGTATCGAGAGGGTCAAATCAACTATTGGGGAAAAGTATAGTTTTGTTAGTAAAGTGATCGAGATTTTAGAAAAAACACCAAACTTGGACGTCCAATTCATTATGCAGGTAAATATATATTTATATCATTAGAATGTTTCATTTTAAATTATTTTTTTATGAAATTTTAAATGCCATTTCTGTATCTATATATTTCTAAGTTACTACTTCAACCCAAAATTTTTCTATTTAACACCTGAACATCCCCACAAGATTATGGAAGGGGTCAGATACATTATTGCCAGGTTGGAGAGAAGCCATCGAAACCAGATACCAGCAATACAAGAGGTATTATTTAATATTTTGGTAAGAACTTGATTGAGTTGTCATATTTGTGAGGAATAATGCACTAAAACGAAATATTTTGTTTCAGCTTGCTATGTATAGGGATGCTATAGGATCCTTCGGAACTAGACTTGCTAGGAATTCTCGAACTAAGATTGATCCAGGTTATCCCCTAACTAATATTTTTTTCATTCATATGTTTAATCTTATGAATTGTTCTTGCCCTTACAATGCTTTTTACATTTTAATCCAGCTGAATGGTGGGAGATATATGGTAGTGATGCGCCTCACCTAAAGAGGATAGCAATCAAAGTGCTCTCCCAGACATGTTCTGCTACTGGCTGTGAGCGAAACTGGAGTACATTCCAATGGTTGTACAGTACTAGGAGGAATCGACTCGCTTCTGAGAAGCTTCATAAACTAGTCTACGTTTATCACAACTTAAACCTCTGAGAGCGACAAATAAGAAGGAAGCTTGTAGACTATAGGCCGATAAACTTGGACACAATATTTGTCACAGACACAGCAGAACAATGGGTAGTAGAAGAAGAAGAGCAAGTGTTGCACAAGAGAGCGTTCATTGAGGCTATCGGTGAGGAAGATTTTGAAAAAGGTGATGAGCAGCATGAAAGAGGAAGCAGCCCACCAACATATTAACTATTTGTCGGAGATGCCGGTGATATTGCACCTAATGAGGGAGAGTGGAAAGGGGGTCTAAGGGAAAATGAGATAGATGATGATTCTGAGGCCACCCAATCCTAGCCAAATTATTCATATATCGAGTCCCAACAACAAGAGGGTAGGGATGAACACGATAATGTAGGTGAGCATGAAGGATGGACAAGCCTCGGGGATTTTGGATTAGGACCACAACAAAACACTAACACTCAGGGATTTGGGTATAGTCAAGTGCCCACTAATTTGGATGATTTATTTTTAGAACGAGTCAATGAATCATCACGCGAATTCAATTAATGGCACCAGCGTGACCAAGATGAAAAACGACGTCATCTGTCATTTTATTTTTATATCGTTGTTACGAATTGTATGCTTTATTGTAGTCCATGTATGATGATATACTTAATCCATGATAATTCTATGTTTATCCTTTTGTGTGATTTAAATTAAATGGTAAATAGTAGTTCATGCAGGGAAAGAACATATTAATATTCGCATATTCATGCAAAAAAATGAAAATTCTTAATGGAGTACCCTCATTTCTTATTGAATTCCTAAAAAACAACAATTATAATGAATTTTAATAATTTTTTCGGATTGTTTTTAAGGTTTAAACCGACCGATTCAGTCGATTCCCCATTCGGATAGCTGATTCACCGATCCGGATAGGTTTTTGAGACACCCGATCCGAGTCACCGATCTGCTTTTTAAACCACTGCATAACACTATGCGGTCTGATGGTTCTAATATCTGACTGCTTAGGTCATGTACAAAATTCAACAAACTTCGGTCCGATATATTTTTTTTTAACAAATGTTCCTTACTTTTTAAAATAAATCTACTCAAATGAAATTATATCAAAGGAAATAACATGAGCAGGCAAAGACGCCCTTCCTTTAGCTGGAAAGTCAGCCAAGGTGTTCGCCTCATGATAGACATGATAGAACAAGACTGAAAAAGGAGCCACCAGTTCCATGATCTGCAACCAGGAAGACCTCGGCTTCCAAGGAATACGTTGTTCCTTCTTACACCATTTAATAACATTCAATGAATGCCTTTCAATGATGCAATTACCCCATAAATTTCTAACAATCAAAATTTAAATCCCTTGCAATAGTGCCAATAACTCTGCTTAGTTAACGGTGGCTACACCAATAGAGCCAACATATGAGAAGATAACATCTCCAAAACAATCATGCACCACACCCCAACACCAACCAAATCTGGATTACCCAGAGAGCTCCCATCAAAATTTAACTTAAAATCCCCACACTCTGGTGCCACCCAAATATTACCTTGGTCTCATCTTAACTCTACCCATCAAAAACAGGTTCGACAAATTCAATAAAACATCATGTTGTGAAATACCCCAACCATCCTTAATAACCGAGAACCAAGACCAAATAGACAGTTTGACATTACTGAGTAATATGTCAAAAGAAAGACTCTTATCTTCAAATGTATGCCTATTTCTTCCTTTCCAGAGTTCCCAAAGAGTAGCCCCTCTCTCTATTTGCCAAACTAAAATACCCATAGTAGGTAGATGATTAAAGGCTAAATAAGACACTAAGCCCAATATATCAAGGAAGAGAAGCGTGAAACCCAAGAAGCCCAAACAACAAATACTAAATTCTAGAAGCAACATGGGAGTGGATAAAAAGCTGATTGCTGGATTCCTCATCTTCTTTACATATCAAGCAAATGTTGGGTAAGATTTTACCCTCTTAATCAAATTGTCTACTGTCAAAATTTTATTTTGGATAGCTAACCACAAAAAAAAATGACACGTTATGGGGATAGGTCATTTCTACACTTTGGCAACAACAACTAAATACCTTCTCCAACAATCGTGAAAAAAATAAAAAACCTATAACAAGACTTAATCGAAAAAACCCTATAGCATTCAACTTCCCAAATCACTTTATCTAATACCTCCAATAAAATATAAGTCGAGTCCAAAATACCCATCAAGGCATTCTATTGAAGATAAACCTCATCACTCAACTTATTATACAGAAAATTAATACTCTAAACAGCACGTTTACCTCTCATTTCGACCGCTTATTTAACTTACAATCGACCCGATGGTAAAAAAAAATAAAAAGATGTCCGAATTAGCAAGCGATTCGCCGATTGAAAAATCGGACACAAGACAAACTTGACAAAAATGAAAAATAAAAAATAAAAAATATTGGAAGTAATAACGGCCGATCCTTTTTATTATTACAAATTTACAACATAAAAATTTAGTCCGTATACAAGTTTTTCAAATATCAAATAATTTTGGTCAATAGAAAGGATAAGTTTCGTAGCGTGTGGCAGCCTTTCTCTTTCCCTCTTTATCTCTCCTACGGCCCCTCCCATTTTCTCTCTCCTCCATTCATTTCCTTCTCTCTCCTCCTTCCTTTATCGCTCCACTCCTTTTGTCAATCTTTATGTTGACTATCTCCTCTCACTCCTTGTTGGATTCTCCTCTCACTCTCTTTCCTTTGGACCCACACGCTCTCATATCTCCTCTCTCTCCTTTCTCCTCTTTCCTCTCTCTCCTCTGTTTAGTGAGTCTCTCTCTCCTTTTTGGGTACCTCGCTCTTTCTCACTCCTCTGTTTGGTGAGTCTCTCTCTCTCCTTTTTGGATACCTCACTCTTTCTCACTCCTCTGTTTGCTCTCCCCCTCCTTTTTTTTGCACCTCACTTTTTCTCACTCCTCTCTCTCTCTCTCTCTCTTCTAGAATCTCTCTTGGTCCCACCATCTGCGTAAAGCTTCTGTCCCTCCAAATTTAACTTCAATGGCCGGCAGTCACTGTCTCAAGTCCGATTACATTATTACCCATCCATGTGAAAAGACCCATCTGTCAATTAGCAGCCACTTATCCAGGCAATGGTTTCAGGGCTATCGGCCTGAACTCCTGCTGAAGCCATGGTTTTTTGAAACAAACTAGTGTTTCATGTAAAAAAATGACCACCTCCATTTCCCTACAGCCAAGTTTTTGGGCAGGAATTAAGGCTTTTCAGACTGTAAATGAGATGGGTTGTTGTGAAACCCAAGTTGCTGAATCAGGGTTTGTCTAAAGAACATTACGACCCATCTTCTGTTTTTGAACCAGGCCTTTTGAGCCATGTTTCTGGGATTTTTGTACTTGGTGGTAAAATAAGCTTTTAGACTTTGAGGTCCCAATCCACTTGATCAAAGCTTTTTTATAGAAGAACTGGTGTGAATATCTTCATAGCCATTAAAGCACTGTGGAACTGAAGTGGGTTTCTCTCTTATAGCCAAAGAAGCAAAGAAAATTGGGCTTTGCGGCATGGAAGTGAAGAAGAAGATGAATAAGGAGCTCTCTGGTAAGAGGGATGATTCCCCTCTTCACATGGCTGCTAGGGCTGGAAACTTGGCTCTGGCTCAAGAAATTCTGCGTGATCCCAGCGATGGAGAATCTGGTGAAGTTGTTTTGAAGGGTTTGTTGTTGAATCAAAACCAAGCAGGGGAGACCCCAATTTATGTTGCAGCTGAAAATGGACACTCAGAAGTCGTGAAAGAGATTTTGAAGTTTTCGGATGTTGGGTCAGCTGCGATCAAGGCAAGGAACGGATATGACGCGTTTCATATTGCAGCGAAGCAAGACCACATAGGTAATGATCTGGCTAATTTTTGTTTTGAAAAGTGCGATCATCTGGCTGAAGTATCTATCAAAATCTGAAATTTTCCTTTTGAAGTCTTGCAAAGAATTAAGAAGAAATTATTTGTTAGTTAGCTTGTATAGTATTCTCCATGTATTGGTTTTCTGAATTATCTTGAATTTTTTCTATGTAATTCATCTGATCATCTGACTAAATTGGATATCAAAATCTGTTTCTTTTTTTCGGGGGTTCCTGCAAATTTGTTCTTCTTAGTGTGCTTACAGAGTAGTTCATAGATTTCTAAACTGGCTTGTTATTTTCATTTTTATGTTGTATAAATACCAAGTAATTTGAGCTTCTTGCTGCTGATCATCCTTGTTTGTATGTCGTTTCCTTAATTGAGAATGATACAGCCATGTTTCTTCTGATTAATTGGTCCGCATAGTTGAATTTTGCTAGAACACAGGCCTGGGGATTCTGATCCGGGCAAACGCATGGTGGGGGGAACCACTCCTCATCATCATTTTAACCATTTCCCAATTAATTGGGGTCGGGTATATGAATCCCGGTTCTCCATTCTGCTCTATTATTTGAATTTATGTAAGTGTTGTTTGTCTTAGCTTTCTTCTAGGTTTTGCAGGGGCCATGGATCATGAACATTTTAGAATCAAGGGCTTCTTGATTTTTAGTGTTTAATTTTGTGATTCTATGCAGTGGTAGAGAAACTAGTCAAGGTTCACTAAATATCTGAACTTTTATAATTGGGTGAGAGGTGGGCTTTCTTGGTATGGCATTGATCAATCGATTATCTGAAGTTTAATTATCAAAACAATTTTTTTTTATTCTCCACGGTTTATCAGAGTTCTAAATAGATGCTGTACTTTCCAACTCAGTATCAGTACATTTGTGCTAGTTTTTCTTTTCGCTTTTTTCATTTTGGCTGTTTCTTCTGGGAAATTCAGAGTGTTCTTAGATTCAATAATCATGTGAAACCAATGGGACTGAAGAAACTTTTCCGTTTTATGGTGTTGGGATTCAAATTGTGTGGTTTAGGGTCTATGTCTTTGAACTTGCATCAAAAGCAGGATTTTTCTTTCTTTTGTTGCTTCTGCCTGTTCAGTAGGATAAGTTTTTCATATGAGTAGCTTACATTATGTGTAGGCTTGCTTACAAGAACTAAAGTCCATTTCCAACTAATTTAAAAAAATCAATAGAAAGAACTGTTCTTAGGTTTCATTAGTCATCAAAGTCTTGAAGACCTAACTTGTACAGACATTTAAAGTGCTACTTAGCTCTTCCTTTGAACTTGGTTTCATTTTTTCTTACCTTTTCTTTTCCTTTTTCTATGATAGAAATTTTAGGATTTTCATAAGCGCACCATATATTATGATTACATCTCTACTTATTCAAAACAAATAACAATGCAACACTTTAGGTTTCATGAATCGTGAGTGTCCTATCTCTTACAAGACTGGTGTTTTGTTTTGGGGTTTTGTAGAGGTCCTGAAAGTGCTACTCAACTCTCTTCCCGAATTGGCCATGACCACAGATCCTTCGAATTCCACTGCTTTACACACTGCTTCAACCCGAGGCCACACTGATGTGGTCAATCTATTGCTGCAAACTGATGCAAGCTTGGCAAAGATCGCAAAAAGTAATGGGAAAACTGCTGTTCATTCTGCCTCAAGAATGGGGCATGCGCAAGTGGTGAGGGCCCTCTTGACCAAGGAGCCAAGCATAGGTCTTAGGACTGATACAAAGGGCCAAACTGCTCTTCACATGGCTGTGAAGGGCCAGAGTGTGGAGGTTGTGGAGGAATTACTTAAACGCAATGCATCAATGATCAGCTTGGCGGATAACAAGGATAACACTGCCTTGCACATTGCGACAAGGAAGTGCCGGACACAGGTATTGTGTTGAAGGATTATTATTCATTATTCTTTACTCTATCTCTCTCTCTCTATCTCTATCTCTCGCTAGATATATATATATCTCGCTATGTATATATATATATATATAGAAAGATGCTAGGGTTAGCCCACCAGTTGATGAAATAGGATAAGCCCAATGGCCCAGATTGAATCTCGGCCGATCTGACAGTCAGGACTATATTTCGGTAATATTTTTTACATAAATCCAAATAACATGAAATTTGGAGCCTCAACTCTTCTCATCAAGGCGCACCTAATAAAAATATTAAAGAAATAATTCACATAAAATAAATTGAGGTATTTTGGTCAATTTATTTTATGCGAATTATTTTTTTGATATTTTTATCAGAATCCAATATTTTTGAAGAATAGATGTACCAAATTTCAAGTGATTTGGATTTGTAGAAAAAAATTAAAATTCAATTACAAAATACAATTGTGATTATTGGATTGGCCCAGATTCAATCCGTGCCGTTGGGCTTACACTGTTTTATCAGCCCATGGGCTGACAGG